TATATATATATCGTCACTGAGATGAACAGTTGTTGAGATATTTGCATGCAATGTAACAGGAAGGGATGTCACAGGTGAATTTCTCCGTGTGAATAGGACTAACAACACAGACCGTAGCAAAGAATCTGATATTTCTTTAGATTATTTTGCGTCACTACCAGAAAGATCAAATACTTTAAGAAACAAAGACCTCGGGGTTTTCCTTCTTAAAGATTTCCCCTTTGATGTCACTTCCTGTTTCACTTTTGCTAAGCTCAGTTCAAAGGAAAAAATGCCAGTTATGTGACAAAAAAATCTAAAGACACACCGAGCAATTGACATGAAAACTGTAACAGTTTTCAACTTGAATGTCTCAAACAGGAAACCAGCCAAACAAATAAAAAGTCAGATTTTTTTTCCGGTTGGTAAACGGTCAATTCTGAGAAAACCAACATTTTATTTGATCCTTGAACGCACCACCCACACAAAACTTGAAAACAAGCAAACGGTCTGTGCTGCCGTCCGTTTTGTCTATTTTTTGTGCTGTCAACAAACTTCGGCAGAGTTTGGAAATTTATCACGGACCGAAGAATTTGTTTTTAAATGTAAGTTTAGCAACTTAGCTGATGAAATTTTTGCTGCAATGAGACGTTAAATAAACCGACACTACGTTTTTAATGCTTCTTATTTATTTACTTGTAATGTTTTATTTATAACAGATTTTTATGAATTTACTGTGAAAACACAAGGCATGTGATGTAACAGAGCAGCACGTGGTCACAGAAACATGCGTCTTCCGTAGACTCAACTGTCTTATTTCACCGTTGTTCATGCAGCCTACATGCAACCCATGAATCAAGACAAAGATAAAATCAACTTGGTGTATTCAGACTCAGTCTGCATCTGTAGTTTTTATTTTTTTTATATTGTAAAGCTTGATAACTTATATGTCTCTGGCTTTGCACTGGACCCAAGTCATAACTGAGCCTCTGTTAAACCTCGACTCACAACCTTTTTCTGATTCACGTACTAATTCCTCGCCTTGACTATTGTATTTTATGACAATACATTAATGCTCTATGTAATATGCCAAAAATCGTTTTGTCTGAATGTTTATACCGCCCAACATTAGAAGTGCAACACTGCATCGTTGTGTTTTCAGATCTCATTGACATTCTTGACTTTTGTGAAATGAGGTAATCTGGTATTATTGTGCTCATTTCATGCAAGATAAAGGAAAAATGTGTGAAAAAATTGATTTCAGATTTTAAATTTAAATTTAA